CAACTTGATTTCATATTTATGAAAGGAACATTTTTGAAAATTAAAGGTAAAAAATATATTAATGACATCTTAACTGCATATTCGTACTTATTCCTTTTTTTTGTACCTGTGAAAGTAAACCGTATCTTAATTTTTTCTCCAGGTCAGGAATCAGATATCATCGATGTCATTCTGGACTGTCCATCTGGCTCAGTTAATGCAGAAAACTCAGACACTCTGCAGTGTTCAGTTCTCTCCGACTCCGAGAAGAAAACATGTCCAGCAGATAACAGGGTTTACTGGTTCAAAGCTGGACCAGATCATTCTCATCCCAGTTTACTTTATCTACAAGAAAACAGTGGAGATGAATGTGAAAACAGTCCTGAAGCTCAAACTGCACAGAAATGTTTCTACAACTTTTCTGGGACCTCTGACAGTGGGATTCATCACTGCGCTGTGGCTGCATGTGGACAGATATTATTTGGAAATGGACTGGTTTCTCAAGGTAATGATATTACTTATATGTGTAATAAATTATCTACACTATTGTCAAATTATCTAATGACCATCTTGCATAATCTAGTAAATTATATTATTTGGAAACAGATTAAAACTTTGGGGTAGAGAACTTTTCTAAATAATGATGATGGACAGGCTACTGGAATATAATTGTAAAAATGCATTTTTTTTTCTTCTATTTTTTCCTTCCTAGGTGCCAACTCTATGGATTTTTCCAAAATATTACTTATTTCATTGTGTTCGGCTTTGGTTATAAGTCTTGTTGTAATATCTTGGCTCATTTATAAAATCAAGAAGAAAACGTGTGGCTGCTGCAATGGTAATGCACATTTCATTCATCAGTTCATCAAAAGAATTTTCAATAGGTTCGAGATTCTTATATTTTTCACTATATGCAAACAGGTCCGGCAACAAGTGGTGGTGATAACCAAAAGCAGGTAAAGTGCAAAGTATTCTTGTAAATGTGCAGTTTTTATTAAGTTATAGAATATTCTTTAACCTTTTTATCGTTTTCCCAGAGTGAAGAAAACCATTTGGTTTATTCTGCACCAACATTCAAAAAGAACAAAGCTAAAAAAGGAGAAAGAAGGAATGTAAGAACAGCGCAAGAGGAGACGGTCTACACTGACGTTAAAACATTTCGATAGATTTAATTTACGCTAAAGTGATGAATTAGTTGTTGCTTCTCATTCTTTAAAACAATAGTACAAATAGTCATTAATAAATCTGTATTTTGTATAATTTATATACTAAGATTCATGCAAGCTGATATAGGTCGACTGTTTATTTTTAACATAGGTCCTAGATTGGATTTTCTATTGTAAAGAAAATTTTATTGAGTCCATCAGAAGTTATAGAAAAAAACAGATTCATATAAAATGTTTTTCTAATTTTGCAGCTGCCTTTAGGTGTATTTTTTTTTTGTATGTTTTCCCTTCTGTTTTTCTAAATTAATTGAAAACTGATTTGGTCTCATCTCCAAATTCCTCTTAAATAAATCAGTTTTTTCAGCGCTCACAATTCGTACTGAACTGTGACATCATTGCATCATTTTATTGATTCTATTCTTGTACATTTTTATTCTTTTACATTTCAGTGGTTCATTCGTTTTCATTATCCTTTCACCCTTTCTAGTGAGATTGCTAATTGAAATATTTAACTGTAAAGCTGAATTCTTTTTGTTAATAAACTCTTGTATTTTGGAAAGTTGTTTGTGTTTATTCCATGCTTGTGAAGTGTGTTTGTGTTCAAAAAGCACCAATGCTGGACTTTATCCCTCCATATATTAATGTAATACCTAAGCTTTATCAGGTAGAGATTAATACACAATAACTCAGACTGAACTATTAGGCCATTATTCTCATGATGATCAAGAGATACGCTGACTTGGTAAATATTAACTAAATTATTAGTTTTGTTAATAACTTTCCTAAGGAATTATTAATAATTATTTAAGCCAAAACCAGACCTATTGTTGTGCAACATCCTTAGACAGTTAACAAGCTAGAGAGGAGATGTGCGTGTTCCTCTCTAGCACCCACATATCCTTTGAACTAACATAGCCTTTGATTTCTCGGCATTCAAAACCAGTTGAAGCTCAGTCAGGCTGGGCTGAACAGTGTCGAAGGCAGATTACAGAAGTTCATATGATTTAGAAACTTAAGGAGGAGAGTTGTTTGTGTTTATTCCATACACGTGGACCCATGTCTCAAACCGTAGAGGTTTGAGAAGAAGATTGACTCCTTTTTCAAGATAAAGCCTGTAAGTGAAACTGAAAGCAGTCAGGAAAAAATATGACAGTTATAGCCTATTTTTTTTAGATATTGTACCTATTTGCTATGAAATACCTTTTCCCCTTCTCTTGTTTTGTTTGGCAAGACTGTAGCTGGAGACATCAGTTTCAAAGAGTCCATGTCACAATTCAGAGGATAGCAGTGAAATGAATAGAAGTTTTGGTATAAAATTAGTTTATTAGATTTAGATGCAGTGCGTGTGTGGATGCGTGTTTGTGTGTATATGTGTCTGCATGTATGGAGGGGAAGGAGGAAGGGTGTTTGTGGGATTGCATGGACTTCTTCGGCTGAAAGTTATATGCTCTATGCACTTTGAGGACCCCGAAGTGGTCAAAGAATCATTGCCTGAATCACTAAACAAACAGAATCAACTTCCTTTCCATGCTAGCCAATTCTAGCAGTGCAGATAAGCACAGTGAATAGAATAATGTTATTATTAGGTTAGTGCATTGTGGTCATTGTGAAATATGGGCAGAATATTAATTCAAATTAATGTAAATAAAAGACTATTATGCATATTTGCTGTAAATTGCGAAAATCTGACTTACAACGGCACAGAATGTTTCAAGATCTCCAAAACAAAAACATATTTGGCAGCGTTGTTTTATGTAGCGAGATCACATGACATCTGCTACTGAACTGGCAGCAATAAGAACAGCTAACTCTAAACAAAGAGACAGTTCTTCAGTTTATTCTTGAATGCGAGGAGGGAGTCAGATCAGCGTAATAACCTCATGGTCTGCGTCTAACACAATCAGACTTACAACCAAGCTTATATACAGATAAGTCTCACCCACATACCACAGTAGATGTAGTGAAGAGAAAACCAGGTCCCAGATGATTTTATCGCACATCTGTGCTCGAGGCAGCAAACTTATCTGATCTACTAACCTCTTAAGATGTCACTTCGTCTTCAACGTTCTTCTCAGTAGAATCCACAACTTTCTTCTCTTTACTTACACAACCCAAAGGTTTCCACATATATAAATATAAACATATCTATCCGCCCACATATTTTCATCAAAAGTACAATATCAGAATTGTAGAAGACATTGCCAGAGTGTAATTTACTTAAAGCCACTTGTTTTCATGACACAAAATCACAGCCCAGGTATTCAACAATGTATATGTTAATATATAAATATACTTCCTCTTAAAGGTTCCTCCATCTTTGCTGCAATAAATACCTTTGAAGATCAAAATTGCCATATAGTATTTTTAAAATTAGAACAAATTGCTTTGTTAAAATCTATAGACAACAAACAGAGGAGCCCTTTCAGGAGGTGTTAATGAAGCAATTATAATTTATTTAGTAAACTATACAGCATCTATTATAAAGCTCACACTTTGTATGTCAAAATCATCATATTTGCAAATGATATTTCAGTCAGATAACGCCTGCCAATAAAGCATCCAAAAAAGACAAACTTTACCACAACTTTTTTTTTTTTTTTTTTTAAAAAAAATGCATCTTAAGAAGAGCAGAAAACAGCTGGAGGTAGTGAGGAGTTTTCGGTAGACAAAATTTCAAATAAGTTGCTTTAAGCGTTCATTCACTTCTTAGGACTGTTGCTTGTTCATTAAGTCAAGGCCATATCTAAAGGCTTTCTTTAGGGGGAAGACACTGTGCTACAAAAAGACAGGAAATGCCCTTGGACTGTGAGCTTTTACGTAGCCAATCAAATGCTTTCAAAGTTCTGGATCGCCACACCTCCTATTGTCAGTAATAAAAAGAGTAGCTTCAGTGTGGACAGTGTGTAAAGATGACTCTGTTCTGGTTTACACTGCTTCTCCTTCATCAAAGGTGTAAGTTAAATGTACAAGACTTGATATAATCATTTATAATGCAATTGAAAACCTGCTGGGGCAGGTCATGTTCATATACTTTATCATTTTTCTTTTAAATTGCTGGAATTTTTGATATGTTGATTCAAATATTAACAGCTTACACTTTTCATTTAATGCAGATGCATTGATTAAAGTGACCATCGTTCAGCTTGGAGACACTAAATGAAAAGATTTTCAAGTCAAAATCTAACTTAAACAGATTCCATTTGAAAACACAATTTGAAGTGTTGCTCAATTACTGACGATCAACATGACAATTGAATGATTATTACTATAATGACAAGGCCTGGCCCCTAGAAGAGAAAGACTTCTGTTCCAGGAAAGGGTCTTAGATTGTGCATTTTGAGATAACCAATCAGATGATCTCGTAACCACTCCTCCTTCTGTCACTGGAATAAAACCTCGTGTTTCAGTGAAAACAGCTTAAAGATGAATCTGTTATGGCTCACACTGATCCTCCTGCACCAAGGATGTAAGTTAGATAACAAACAAAACCTCTGAGTGTTAGTGAGCATATGATTTTGAACCTATGTATCCTCATATGTTATCTTTTTTTGCAGGTTGTGTCGCATTTGTTTGTCCTGAATAGCGTGTTAACACGTTTTTTTTATTCTTCATATTACAGATGCCTTGGTTCCAGTGACCATCGTTCAGCTTGGAGACCCTGTAACTTTGAAATGCTTTTTTCCAGAAGAAAAGAAAAGCAGCAGTAGTGAACTTCACTGGTACAAACAAAGTGCAGGAAATTCACTGGAATTAATTGTGAAGCTGTTGGAAAATACCACGCCTACTTATGGATCTGAATATTTGGGCTCAAGACTGACTGCAACATATTCAGAGAAAATTAGCAATCTGACGATTATGAAGACGACTGAAGAAGACGAAGGCATGTATCACTGCGCTGTGATTGATTGGAACAAGAACATTTGGCAAGGGATCTATTTGCTGATAAAAGGTATTTTAATTATTAAAAAAATACTTCAACAAAACAAATGCTTAGAAATCCACTTTTTTTGCTTTGATATATATATATATATATATATATATATATATATATATATATATATACACCAAGGTTTTTAACATTAGATCCTACTGCATTGTTTTCTTCTCTTAATCATCCAAAATTAATTTACAATGTCTAACCAAGAATTTTGCTATGTTTAGGAAACACTGTGGTGTCTTCAAATTACACAGTTGTTCAGACTCCTACAATATCACATCCAATTCATCCAGGAGACCCAGTGACCCTTCAGTGTTCGGTCCTCTCCAACTCTGACAGCAAGAAATGTTCAGGAGATCTGAATTTGTTCTGGATAAGAGCCGGAGACAAATCTCTCCCAAACATCATCTACACTGATGGAAACAGAGAAAACAAATGTGAAGAGAAACTGGACTCTCAGCAGAGATGTGTGTATAACTTCTCTAAGACGGTCAACGCATCTGATGCGACTTTCTACTGTGCTGTGGCCACATGTGGAGAGATATTCTTTGGGAATGGAACCAATCTGGATATTAAAGGTAACTGGATAATTTGATTTCTTTATTTCATTGTGAGGTGAACTATTCATTGTAAAATATTATTTTTATTTTTTAAAATAATCAGAACATTAAAAAACACATCCTTTTTACTAACTTGTAATTCTGCTGTTTTAATTTTAATGATGTTTCAGATTCCATCTTGTGGTCCAATGACGCTGGAAAAGTCATTATTCTTCTCTCTGCTGCTCTGGCAATAAGTCTGGTTGTGATCGCTCTTCTTATTTACTTCATCCTGAAAAATAAATGTGTTCACTGTAAAGGTAAGAAAGGATTCTTGAAGCAGTTAGTTAGTACTTAAAGAAATTAAATTGCTGAAGCAATATTAATTAGTTTCTGTTTTATTTTGCATTCCAGCTGATTCAGAGTTGCAGAAAAACATCAGCAGACAGAAACCTCAAGAGGTAAAAAATCCCAAAACGGTTTTATTAGATCAAATATTTGATTAGGTTTTATAAGTGAGTGAATTATAACATTCTTTGTTTTGTCAGAGATGTAAGGCTGGATGGATTTACTCTGCAGCCATCTTTACTACAATACACTCTGACTGGGCAGGACTGAAGAAAGAAGTAGAGAAAAAGAGGATCTACGCCGCTGTCAAAGCTTTTGGATTAAATTGAGGAAATTGTTTGCTTTAATCTTAAACCAAATAAAGGAATAAATAATGATTTCATTTATTTATTGAATATAGATTACTCATACCCATTTGGTTTTTGGTTTTGGTTTTTTTCTGTCTTATTCCTTTTGTAATTTCTGGTCATTGGTCCATTTGTTTATTCTAAAGTGCTTTTTTTCTATCTTAATATTTTTTGTGAAATTCTGAAAAAAAAAAAAACCTTGATATGGATAATAAAGTCAAATCATGTTTGAAATTTTTTGTTCTTTGTTGACTTTCAAGAGCATTTCTGCTTCAATTAGGTTTGGGTTTTCTTTTACAGGATAAAATCATTTAAATTCAAAGTGTGTGCTCTATTTTGTTTAAAACGTGAAAATAATGCTGTCTGCAAAAAGAAAAATGGTTTAACAAAATTCTGGATGGCTGCACAACAAAATTAACAGTATTATGTTTATTTTTAGAAAGTGAAAATAGATAATTGTTCTCCACAATGATCATGTAAAGGTGATCAACAGAATATGGACCATTTGCAGCTACAACTCTCAATGAAGAAATTATAATTTATTTTGTTTTGATTTCACAGGAATCCAAGGGAGCTGTCTCCAAATTAATTTTTTTAACACATCAGGCACTGTTGAATATGTTGCCTCACAGTCAGTTCTACCACAAAACTCACTGTTTCACATGTTTCTCCTGCATCATATATTCCAACTGCAATCAAATCATCTGTTCATGCTCAGATAAAACCTTTAGGACTTATCCACATTGATATGTTTTTTTGTTTTTTTTTCTAAAACAAGCAGTCTTTTAATCCACACAGAAATTGTAAAACGGGTAAAAATGCTACTTTTACTTTCCCAGACCTTTAAGTTTTGGTAAACTTGGAGTGTGTGGCATGCAGATAAAGCCTCCACACGTGGTTAGTGGTAAACACAGCAAGAAAACAAGAATGGCAAACAACAAAGCCGGAGTAGAGTTGTTTTTTGTAGCCTTTAATGAGGCTCTGCAGCAGCTGAAGCACAATCATCAAAGTAAATCTGCCATTTTTATTTGTATGACCTCTTTAGAGTTAATAAATTATAAGCCTGTTTCACAAAACCAGGACAGCAGATTAAGCTGGGCTTTTCTAAATTGCCTGCATTAATTAACACTGATATTCCGGTTGATAATTATTTTAACATTATGATAGTTGTCTATCCTATAATCATCTTTATAATTGTCCATGTGGGTATTGTTACTGTTCGATTGTGTTTCTGAAGAACGCTGATGTTCTTAGTTTGATAGAAAAGCTTTCCCATGACCACTATTGGAGAGGTAATGGAATTAGAGAAATGGGTGCTAAAGAATCAAAGTTGTAATCAGTTCAAGCCACATAGGTTGTAGCTTTTTAAATTTAATGGTAATAAAAGTTTACAATTTAAAATAACTTTAGTTTTGGGATATAATTAAATAAATGCACAGTCTAAGTCACACTGTTTTATTTACATCATAAATATACTTTTTGTCTCTGTGAAGGGGGCTGCTCATAACAAGACACATTTTATAAGTTACAAGTTGGTTTTTAATTGCTGTTAAGCTCCATTTGTGCTAGCAGTTAAACAGGAAGTTGTCCCTTCAAAATAAATTATCCAAACGTCATCAGGAAGTTCACCAACATTAAAACTAAATAAGTTTTAAAGGGTTCTGCTTTTTCTGTAATAAGCAGAAAAAATGACACCAAGTGGTATTACAGTTTACACTATTATACTATTATATGCATAATAATTCTCTCCACAACAGAGAAAATTAGCTTTGTATTCTAATCTTCTCTCACATGAACAAATGAAAAATGAACCCAGAAAGAAAGCTGAACAAATGAGTCAATATTGAGTTACTTTTCCTCTATTTTAATAGCCTTAGGTAAAAGTGTTTGCAGAGTGAGTACCCGTCCATCTTTCACCCACCAGCACTGATAAAAATACTAACAGAGAGTAAACCCACATGCAATCTTTGAAGAATAGGTGAAGCCAATTAAATAGGTAAAGCTCCCTGTAGCTTTGGTTAGAGCTCCTAGATTAAAATGCTGTTTTTTTTTCAAGACCAACACTATGAAAAAAAAATACATGAAGTAGGTGTTATTTTGTAAGCTTCAGTTGGAAACATGGTTGATAATTTCCACTGTGGTGGCAGTGAGGGTTAAGAAAAGGCCAATCAGACTGTTTCAATGCTCCTCCCTCCCACTTTTCAGTGTTATATTAGACTGAAGCATCCATGTTGTGCTTGTCTTTTTGTGCAGCTGTTTGATGATTAAAAAGAAAATGGTGGTCATATTTTATTTCCTGTTGTTGCTCGGAGACGGACGTAAGTACAGAATGTATAAATATCAATACTGTCAGTTCATTTTGTGCTTCATGTCAATAATTTCTTTGATTTTTTTTATAGGTGTCATAAATGGTTACAACTTGGAGACAAAAACCATTCAAGTGGGTAAAAATGTGACCCTGACATGTCCTCGCCTACCAACCAGTCAATCCCAAAATATGTTTTGGGTCAAATTTTCTTCTGGAAACTGGCCTGAATCTCTTGGACAAACAATAACTTTTGATTATGAAAAGGTTTTTCAAACTCGTCATTTTACAACAAAACAAGGGAAAGGAACGTTTGTTCTGCATATAAAAGAAGCTCAGCGTAATGACACTGCGCTTTACTATTGCGTCAAAGTTGAATCATTAAAGCTGGTATTTTTGAATGGAATTTTTCTGAAGATTGAAGGTGCATAAAACAGTATTTCTGCATATAAATATTAGAAAACAATTTTCTATTCTGTAGTCACATACAATGTATTTATTTTAAGTTTCTTTTTATTTTTTTATTTTTTTGTATTCTCCAGGCCCAGAATCAGCTCTCACTGCTGTAATTCAGGAGCCTCTATGTGACCCTGTCTTTCCAGGAGACCGGGTGACTCTAAGGTGTTCGGTTTTCTCTGATTGTGAGAGCAGAACATGCCCAACTGATCACAGGGTATATTGGCTCAAAACTGAACCAGATGAGTCTCATCCCAGTTTAATTTACATTGATGGAGAAAGTGGAAATGAATGTCTGGAGAATCAAGAATGTGTCTACAGTTTCTCCAAGGACATTAAAGCCTCTGATGTTGGGACTTACTACTGTGCTGTGGCCACACATGAAGAGTTATTTTTTGGAAATGGAACATTTTTGCATGTTCAAGGTATGTAGAAAATTTTTCTAGGTTGAGGTGAATAAAATTACTCATAATAATAAGAATATTATTCTTTGTACTTTTTTCTAGAACAATTCAGTTTTTGGAAGTCTAAAATACTTCTACTGCTGTGCGTGGCTGTGGGTGGATGTCTAGTTGTCATTATGTGCCTCATCTACACCTTGATGAAAAAAGCTTCACATCTTTGCAACGGTATGTTTCATACATCACTTTCAAGGTGATCTGTAGAAGTAAATTATAGGTTCTACATTTTTATGAGAAATTTTGTCGCATGTTTAGCAGATGCCGTCACAGGATGTGATACTCAGCCGAAAGAACAGGTAAAGGAGCAAAGACATAAATATTTGTTTAGAGCTTACATGTAAATTACTTTCCTAAGCTATTTTTTGTACTTTCTACAGAGAGATGCACACTGTTTGGTTTATTCTGCCCCAACCTTCACCAAGACCAATGTTGGAAAAGCAGAAAGACGAAAAATAAAAGCAACACATGAGGAGACAATCTACACACATGTCAGGAATTTAGGGATTCAATAATGTCTAATTAATTTAGCCAATTAATGCCAATCATTGTTTTTGTGAACACTCAGAAAAATGGTGAGTGTAACCAGTTCAGAGGATTTTTTTACACCATTCAAACTGGCTGTCCTTATATGAAAGATTGTATATATTTCCATAGTTTATTCTTTGCACATCATGTTTTTTTGCAATGTTGACTCTTCCAATGGCTGTCATGCTATGAATTTTATGTTAAAAGTTAAAAGTGAAGATTAGATTATATTTTAGCAGGGAGCAGCATACGCAAAAATCTGAATTTATTTTGTTGCCTGCTATAAATCTTCAAAGGTATGTTTTAAGAAATGTTTTATAGTCAAATATTTAGCTTTTTATGTTGTTTGCACTGAATCTGAAGATCTTAATCCCTATTTTTAAATACACTTATAAAAGATAGTCTACATGTAATCCAGACTGAAATATCACCATTGTTGAATGATTAACATTTTTTGACCACATTCAATATTACTATTGAATAATAATAATAATAATAATAATAATAATAATAATAATTATTATTATTATTATTATTATTATTATTATTATTATTATTATTATTATTATTATTATTATTATTATATTCAATAATATTATTATTCAATTATATATTCAATAATGATATTGAATAATAAAAACTGCAGACCCAAGAGACTGCAGTATTTTTTTAGAGATCAACATATTGCAGTGTAATTCTCAACCTCAGAAAGGGTAACTTATATAAATAGTCTAAAAAATAGACACATTTAGAGGTGAATTCAAAGAAACAAATGCAAGACTTATGATACAATCAATATCATAAATATTAGTAAAATTTGAAAACCAAATGCAGTCAACTTGTATTTTAATGATAGCTGTAAATAGGATAGTGTGTCAAAGTGAGAGGGAATAATGTTTTTGTTTGGTTTTGTGAAAAAGTCATGTATACGTCATGATTTTTGTACGCTGTCTTTATGGAATGAAATCTTTATGGAAATAAATCTTTTTGTCAAATCTTTGGTCTTTTAAAATTCTTGTACAAAACATTAAATTATTACAAATCTGTCTTCATTGAGTATAGACTAAATGATTAGCAGGGATTGATGGTTACTTAAAAGGTGATGAGTACCACAAAATGTTTTATGAAGAATTTTCTGATAAATGCTTAATTAGTGTCCATGGCTACTTATTAATAAGTTGATTACAAATGATTTCTAAAAATATTTAAAACATTTTGAAGAATGCAGAATGCAGAAAACCTAGGACATAGTACATAAAGCATAGTGCAGAAAAGTTTTTTGTCTTTTGTCTTAATTTAAGTTTTATATATATATATATATATATATATATATATATATATATATATATATATATATATATATGTAAATAAAACACAATGACTATCAATTTGCGAAGACAAAAGAACTATTTATAAGATTTTCTGAATCTCCAATGACTTGTTGTAAAACCTTGAATGGATTTCATTGGTTAGACAACGTATACATCTGGTGAAACGAAAGCATCAAAATTCTTGTTATTTTTCCATGAGTCATGTCATGTGCTCAATTTTCATTTGATGTTTTTATCCTATGAAACATTGTGTAAAATTAATCTATCAAATGATAAATATCAGCTGAACTCCACCAGACGGATTTTAGTAGAGTCAACCAGATTAACCTACAGTGTCCATGACCTCCAAGATCATGCAAGTTTTTGTAAATTGTGAAAAATATGGAAAACCTCATTTCAAACTTGATGCCACTGCAGTTGCACTCTAATAATAATAATAATAAATGACTACTCTGCTGGACATCCTGCAATACCTACACAGTTGATACGCTACATATGTGGCACATATATGCCGAAGGTGAAGACTCCAGCATCACTGGAAGTGCTAAAAAAACAACTTCAATAGATCAACTCCTTCTAGGTTGTGGCATTTATCAAGGAAACATTTACGAAACTGCAACAAAAAAAAAGTTATAACGTTATAACACTAATAAGATAGGTGTGACAGATGGCAGCACATTACACAGACAGTTGTTCCCAACCCTTCAGGAACCAAGAGCTACAACTCAATAATCTTCTGAGAGCGATCATATGACAGATGTGAAAATTATAAATGAAACTCTATTGACATATTTTATATGCAAATATATACCAGTTACAACAGATATTTTAAAGTGAAAGAAAACTTTGTGCAGTTCTTTGTTAATGGGACTTCTGACTCTGAGGAAGTAGCTTCTCATTGTCTGAGCAGTAGAAGCTCATTGCAAACCTCAGGCAGTCCACCAGGTGTCAATAAGTCATTCTAGATTTGTACATTGATTTGATGATCTTCATGTGAGAAAAATACAAATCCACAAATAAATGGATCCAAAGAGTGGTGTCAAGATGAAAACACATCTTCTGAGGTTGGGATATTTTTTCTATAGCAGGTTCCAGAAGTTTCAGCTCATACCAGATACCCAGTTCTATTTGTCACCTAATTTTCAACAGCTGCGCAATCCAGGCTGAAAATGCTATTTTAGAGACAGTCTCATCAATATTTCCACTATGACAAACTCAGATATCTAGCCTCACTTTACTTCAGAAAGTGCCTCAAACTCAAAGTACAATGGCCACAGTGAGCCACATCAAACGGAAAATAATGCTGAACAAGTGAATAACAACTCAAAGCCACTGTTATTCTTCCTCTCTCTCTCTCTCTCTCTCTCTCTCTCTCTGTCTTGCTGTTGGCTCTATACTTTACACACAAACTTGTTGTTGTGACAACTGACTGATAAACAACCCCACAAGGTGACACACCAGAAAATATATATAAATGCAGCAGAAACAAAAACATCACAGGAATGGTTTTCCTGTGATTGTCACCATATGAGTCACTCACTTACAGTGGTAATCAGGCCTATAGATACATTTGCTTTTTGTTATTGTTCTCAAGTGTTGGTTCCTCCATCAATTTCCTCCTTCTAGATTCCTGGTTCTGTTCCCCATCCTGCTGCTTTGGTTTCTGCATTCCTCTAAAGATGTTTTACACATAATAGCTCCTAACTGGATTCCACATCGAGCTCCACCTGCTGACATCCTGCTGTCACTGATCCATCCTGGAAGAACACAGAGAGCCTGTCAACCACAGTCCCACAAAACTCACTTACTTCCTTCTCAAGCCTTTGTTTTTTTTTTCCAGAAGAGGTCCTAGAGATAAAACAATAATCATATAAAAATAACATCTAATGACTTTTTCAGAATCCTAATAAAAACAGGAAACCATGTAACAAGTAAAGGTACATAAAAGGAACATTTGATAGAGATAAGATATGACTAACAAAAACTACTACACAGACAAACTCAAGAAGACTAAAGAGGAGCACAAGGAAAGACACAACCCAACACACAAAATGCTAGGGTTGTAACAATTAGTTAAAATATAAATTAAAATGATCAGATCAAGCTTGAACGTGATTTCCTGCCTTATGATATTTTTGTATTAGGATATTTTTGTATGCAGAAAGAAGGCAGAGTTTAATGCATATTTATGCATACTTTGTTTTCTCTTTTGAATATCTTCAGCCTTACACTGAACAGAGGTCAATTTAAGAATGACAGTACATGACTTTGTTTAACATTTTGAACAGTCTATCATATTTTTTATGTATGGTCAGTCTGCATTTTCTTTATTGGTCTATTGTTATAGCTGGTCTATAGATAACTACCATATCATATTAGATGGACCTGTTCTTGGTCATAAACACTGTAAAACACAATCCTGTGCAGATGTTAGATTAAATCTTATATACAATGATTTGAATGTTATAGAGCATGGTTAATTACTCAAAATCTTACAATGAACAACATTTATATGAGAAAAATGCTTGTGTCGCTGGAAACGCCTCAAATCGTATATTTTAAGACAACCAATCAGATGCCAGGAATCAGAACCCACCTCCTACTTAAATTTGAACCAGTGGCCAAACAAAGACAGTCTCAAAATGATTCTGTTATGGGTCATGCTTCTCCTTCATCAAGGATGTGAGTTAAATGTCCATTAATTTAAATATGTCATGTAGATTTTTGAATGCCTGTTATAATTATGACTCCTCTTGTTTCCAGTGGTGTGGTCTTATTGCACATCATGTGGTGCTTTTACCTTAGTTTAACAATTTCTTATCTTTCTGTCTAATGCAGATGGTTTGGTTCCAGTGATCACAGCTCATCTTGGTGAAGCAACAACACTTACATGCCCTTTGCCCGATATTAAAGACAGACGTAATAAACTTTTTTGGTACAGGCAAACTGCAGGAGATACCCTGGAAGTAATTGTAAAGCTTGTGAGTCTTGCAAGCCCAGAGTATGGAGCAGGTTATTCTGAATCGAGAGTAAAAGCTGAACTTACTGACAAAGTGAGCAACCTGACCATTTTAAAAGCAGCTCAAGAAGATGAAGGAATGTATCACTGTGGCTTTACTGACTGGAACCAAAATGTTTGGCAGGGGCTCTACTTGTTAATAAAAGGTAATGTATTTTAAAAGATATTTAGCTTTTTTATA